CTGAGAAACTTCTGCTCTGCTCCCAAGGACACCTGCTCAGACCTCAGCACAGCATCTCTGCAGCCCTGGCCCCCCTCCCTGCTTTGGAGTCAGCTCCCATTCCGACCTAGAGGGGACAGACAGCTCAGCCCTGTTTCCCCAGCTCCACAAACATCCCAGCCTCGTCTGCCACCCCTGGCAGTTTTCATCCCACCTTGTACACACAATCAATTGCATGCTTTCATTTGGGGTTCGCGGGGAGAAAAGGCTCAGTCAATGACAAAGGCTGCCTTGCCTTGGCATGGAATGTTGGGAGATGTTCACAGGAAAATGGATTCATGTAGACTCATTGAGTTCACTTCCATGTCTTTGCTCCAATGAAGACAACATTTGTGACCGAGCCCACCTTGTCCAGAAGGAGCTCCCACACCCCCCAAATGAGCAGGCCTCAGGGCTCACTGGCTAGCTGTTCAAGGTCCTGAGAAGCTTGCTGGGACCTTGGAAAATGCCAGTCAAGGTTTTAGGATTCCCTCACCGGGAAGGGATCTAGGTCAACTCCTTATTTCAGGGTTTCTGAGCTCATACCTGTGAGCCGGGCACAGCCTGACGCTGGCGTGCTTGGCCAGAGACTGGGTGTCTAGGCTGTTAGAATCATGCAGGAAGGGGGATAAATTCAGAGTCCCGGGACCCACCCTGGTCCTCCTGAGGCAGAAACATCAAGGTCGTCCCCCTCTCCCCCGGAAATCTGTACCTTCTACAAGCACCAGGGAGAGGACCGGGAAAGGCTTTGGATGGGAAGTCTCGGATCTGCATCTGAAACCCTGTTATCTAGGGAAGCAGTTCAGCATTTCTCTACCCCAGTCTCCCAGAGCTGAAAACCTGGGGCGCACCTTAACTCCCTTGAAGGGGTGGGGTTGGTTGAGCAGGTGCAGTCCCGTGACCACAGGCACCCAGAAACCCATAGCAAACCCTCAGTCAATGGGACTGATTCCTACCATGAACGTGACAGAGTTCATTCCAAGGGGTGGATGAGAACCACAAAGAGGCAAAAGGTAACGCTTTGGTGCCATACAAGGTCCTTGCACCTGAGCCACAGTGTCAGCACCTGCTCCGGGCTGTCCATGCAGCTAATCCTTCTTTCAAACTCCAAAATCTGCATAGCTCTTATTTCCCCACATGCCCCCCCCTTACCCCGAACCCCTGAAACCAATTAATCATTAGAAGGTCCCAAGTGGAGGGCCTCCACTGCCTCCTTCGGAATAGACTCAAAAACAGACACACACACCCCGGGAACAAGGGAGCAAGGTCCTACGTCTCCAAAATGGTCAAAACAGAGTCATTTTGTTTGTGAAAAATGGATATATCTGGACTTAAAAATGTTTTGCCAGGGGAGGGGGAAAGTAGTGAGCGACTATTGGCCAAGGGGCTTCTCCTGGCAGAACCTGTTCCCTGCTGCTCAGGGAGTCTCCCACCACCAGAAAGGCTGCAGCTCCTGTCCTCTGAGTGTCCAGAACAACATCTCACCAAGCAGGGACCCCAGGATAGGAGTGGGGTAAGGAGGGGCTCTCAGGGTCCATTTCCTTAACATTTAGCAAAGATCATCTGCTCTTGGTGTCCCTGCAGACCTCAGCCAGGAGAACAAAAGCCAGACATCGCCATTCTGAGTCAAATGCAGCCCCTCCTGCCCACTATTGTCTGTGTTTGTGGTGGGCGTTGGGGCTAAGCAGGGGAGAGGAAGGGGTCTCCACTGAGCAGGGCAGATGGTCTGATGTTTTCCCCCTTCCAGTTAAGGGCCTGAAAATACCTATGAGTTCTGAATCCAATGGAGCAGATGTTAATTTGCACCGGTTCTCTGTGCAAGGCCCTGTGCTCGGGGTTCCCAGCCATTCCAAGGCAAATTTATTCAGCGACAGCCCGGACCATGGTTGCCTGTTCTGTGCTCTGTGCTAGGACATAACCTGGGACCTCTGCCTGGGGCACTAAGAGCTCAAGTCACTAAGACAGAAGTCAAAGGGAACACAGAGAGCAAACACAAGCACAAAAATTCAAGGAGGGCAAGCAGGCAAAGGGACATCATCCATGATGCCCTCAGAGCTTTGGGGAGGCAGCAGCTTGAGGTGCTCAGAGAGGTGCGGGTCTACCCAGCACAGGGGGCAGAACAAACAGCACTCGTGCCACAGACTTGTTGCAACATAGGCAGGGAGCCCACCGACGACTCTGGAACCAGAGAGTAGCACCTCTGAGTGACTGTGCAAGGTGCCTGGGGACAGGAGCTGGGGGAAGGGCTGCACACGAGGGAGGCGGCGGGCCCAGTGGGAGCCACGGCTACCGTGCTGGGCAGAGGCGCTCCCTGGAGGGCAAATCAGGGAGGGTCACCACTGGACTTGTACACCACTCCTTCCGGGGGGGCCCCTGGGGGAACACTCAGCCCACCATCAGGCTCCCTTTAGGAAGGGCCTTCACAGTCCTTCTTCCCTGGGAAGCAGACTCGGCAGCTGCCTGGGAATAGTGGCCTGGAGCGTGAAGAGTGGGCCACAGCTCAACTGGCTGGGGGGTTCCTGTCCTGTGCCCCATGCCCCTGTGCTGAGCAGAGGGTGTGACATGGGACCAAGGTGTGATGCCCACCGAGGAGTCTCCCTGTGGACAGAACGTGTACCTGGCACAGGGCAGAGGCTCAGTCGAGGCCTGACCCCACATGCTAAAGTCCCAGCAAGGTCTTCTACCAACACTCCTCAAGGTCTCTGGGCCCATTCCCAAGAGTCTACACAGCAGAGCACAGGTCGTTATGGGGATGGGTTCTTGAGTCTCAGAAAAACTTAGATGCTGCCTTCTCTGCTTGGACTCACATCACTTTTCTTTCTTTCCTGGCTCCTCACATCCTAGTGTCCAGCTGAGACCCAGTTGGCTTGAGCTGGGAACACACATTCCGAGTTCCATAGGGTCCCCCCCCACCCCCCGCCCGCTACCCCTACCTCATTCCAAGGCCATTCCTTATTCTCCCCAAGCAGGACCTTCATGTTCCTGCTCCCGCCCTTCCCCGGAGCTGAGAATCACTCTCCTGCTTCACCTGGCCTGCAAAATCAGGTTCCTGACAGCCCACTGCAGGGAACCCTGAGGCAGGGTGGGTGAGGCTGGGCCAGCCACTCCAGCTCTCTTCAGGGACAAACACCACCTTACACACGTCTCCTCGCACCTACAGGTGAAAACCCACCGGTCCCAGGAGATCTCGGTGAAGGGTCCCCCAGCATCAGCCAGGAACACCTTCTGGGGGAATGTATCAGACAGAGCAGGGAGGGCTCAGATGCTAGGGCTATTTCCCCCTGTGAATCCCCTTCCAATGTCTGTGCATACCCCAGGGACGGGATGCTCACTACCCCTCAGGAACCCTCCCTCTCCTCACAAAGCTCGTCACTTTTAACAAGACTTCTGGAGAGGGAAAGACACTCGCATGGTTCCAAGCTCGGGCGAAGGCACAGTGCGCGCTATCAGGAGGCTCATGGCCACTCTCTCTGCCTGCCCTGCTCCCCACCTCCCAAGGGATCATGTGAAGAGATGCTTGGGTCTCCTGCCATTGTTTATTTAAGCAAACATGATAAGCAAGAAACGACGTTCTTCTATGTAACACTGCTTACCCCAAATGGAACGTGAGATAGACGCTCTCCTGCACCTTGCTCTGCTCGGGACACACCTGAGCGCACCTGGGGCCTTTCCCCATCAGCCCATGGAAGGCACCCTCCTGTTGCCCTCACAGCTGCATAGGTTCCAAGGGGCCTTGGCTCCAGAAGACTCAGCTGTCCCTCCTCCTGCAGCTACGGGCCTCGGCCATTCTCCATCTCTCAGTGCATCTCCTCTGCCCTGTCAGGCCTGGATGCCACCAGGCCCAACCAATCCCTAGCTGGTTGTAGGACCTGTTCCATCCCCTCACCCTGAGTGTGCCTCTGTTTCCTTTCGGGACCCCACCTGACTCAGGGTCTTTAGGTCCAGCTCCCACAACCCCCTCTTCTGCCTCCCTGACTTGGGACCACCACGCATGTCTCCCAGGCTAAGCCCAAGTCAAGTGCACAGTACACAGCAGGGCCTCACCATGGTGATTCCAGTAGTCTCCCCATGATGCATCTCCCTGCCATCCATCTGCACCTCTCTGGCCTAGCAGACCCCCCCCCCCCCCCGCCCCCATCCGCAGGTGCAATACTGCGATACTCCTAGCTCCACGCCCAGGATGCTCAACTTGTGTCCCAGCCCAGTTATAGAGTGATCTCAGACACAGGAAATCCGCTGCCAACAGGCCTGGGTGTACCAGTGGCCCTTAAATCCCCTTCATGCTCCTCTTCTCCTCCCCCATCATCATCACCAGCCCGTGTATCCCATCGTTCATGGGCATCTTGGTCCCCCAGTTCAAGCCTTGAGACCTGCCTGGCCCCAGGCCCTGGGCTGAGGCAAGAGCACCATGCGGTTATGGTTACTTGGAGCCCCTCTCCTTGAATCACTTGGTACCTCCAGCTGTGTCCCCACTCCTAGCCGACCCTCCACCCACCACCTGTGGAGGTGAGGAGAGGACATTTAGGCATCGTGTGTTCCATGGGCCATGGAGACATCGCATCAATGAGGGCTGCTTGGAGCCCACCCCTCCACCCAACAGCCCAGAGACCTGCTTTATGTGGTCTAGTCTGGCCCCAGGGACTGTCTGAGCTGAGATGCTTCTGGTCCTACATATGTCACAGCCGAGGTAAACCGGACACTGCCGCCCTTGAGGGGATGGAACCACCCCCAACCTGGTGACTGCCACGAAGCTCACTCTGGAACCAAGTGAGCCTGCATAGTAAGCTGGTGCTCCCACCCCAGGACACCAAGCCAGCACATGGCATGGCCACGGTCCTTGGGTGGCAGGCCAGGGCCTAGAGCGGCAAGGCTGCAGGCCTCCGACGGGTGACCTCATCACAGAGACATCAAAGCGCATGGTTTCACTGAAGCTACCCACTGCAGGACCCAGACGCACAAACAGAGGCTGCTGACACATGTACCTGACACTCCGGGAGCTCTCCCCTTCAGACCTACAACAAGAGAGAACACATGCTTAGGATGCAAATAGCTTCCACTATGGGAGAGCCAAGAGAGGGCATGAGCTGGGGGGACCGCGAGGTCCCCAGCTACCCTGGGATCCCTTCTTCAGCGTCAGCAGACCGTCCCCAGGCCCAGCCCCCAAGGAGTCACACTGCTGGTCTTTTGACCTGGAATTCCACCCTGAAAGCCACCTCCTCCCAGAAGCTATAGGATCGTTCCCAAAGCCCTCTGGTGTATATCCTCTTGACAGGCATTGTTTGCCCAGGATCTGAACATCCCTGAAATTTGGGAGCAACCCCAGAGGGCAGCCTGTGGCTCCAGAACTCTGTGCCCTGGGCCTCTGTGAGGCAGCACCGGAAGGAATAAGTGTGCGGGATGGTGTAGCTGACCTCACCACACCCTCTACTTGGTATTTCCAGAATCTCTCCCCAAGACTGACCCTGTTTTCAAGTACCCAGATATCAGTGACACCACTTTACAAAGGAGACAAGCCTGAATGTCAAGAACCTGGACAATTAGATCCTATCTCGCATCCTTGAACATTAAGGGAGACTGTGAAATAGTCATTGACAGTGATGCCTTCCCGCTCTGCAAACCAATGGCAAGTGACTTGGAGATTCAAATGCATGCAGCTAAAGTCTTAAAGCCACCCATGGGCTCCCTGAGTCTGAAGGAGCAAAGGGCTGTGAGCAAGCACATTCGGGAATAATCCCTGGATGTCCCAAGTTGGTTGTTATTGCCAGGAGCTACAGGAGGAAAAACACACTTCACTCAAATTCTTTTTTCTTTCTCTTTTTTTTGCATCTTGCCTTTCTCAGTAATTTTGCAATCTAGCTGCACGGCCCCATGAGCACTCAAACCCAGGGGACAGCTTCTCCCACTGACGCACCTTCACTGGTCTCAGGAGAGCATCCCAAGTCCTCACCTAGGTCTGCTGTGTCCATGGCAGACTGTACCCAGGTTGTCTTTCAAGCTAATTGACAGCCCGGCCCAGGAAAGTTTCTCAAGGATGTCTTAAAGCATCTTCAACACCAACTGTCTGCTCTCTGGAGGCCTCCAGCTGTCCCCAGCTCTCACGGCAGCTACACAACGTATGCCAGGGACACGGGCCACTTCCGGGCTCAGCCAGTGCAAAACTGGACATAAAGGTCAGTGATGATGATGAGGAAGGATGCCCCTCACTCAGCCCTTACTAGGTAATTTTTCTAGGTGCCCAGCCCAGAGCTGGGCCTTGACACACGCTCTAGATGATTTTCACAGCGACCTGGCAGTCCCAACACGGTCCTCACTGTGCACAAGAGGGCCTGAGGCTCGCGGAGGCTGTGTGAGCTCAAGGCCATATGACCAGCCAGCCTCAAGGTGCTGTCCTGCCAACCTCGGCAGCCAGAGAGCAAACCAGACCCCATCTGGTCAGGAAGGAGATCACCTGGGCGAGCGATGGAAGGGAGCCCTGGGCGCTTGCTGGTACTGCTCATCTTTGGCTCCTGATCCGGGTCCTGGTTACCCAGGCGAGAAAACGTGTTTAACCCAAAGGAGAGATTTGACCATTCAGATTCCAAAACATATTCCTCATATCTATTTGGTCTTTGTTCACAGTTCCTGGCTCTCAGCACCCCAAAGGCTGGGGATTTTTTGAGGAAGGAGAGCCATAGGGACATCTTTTCTTATCATATTTGGTCACTTGCCCTTAGCCCCTGAAATCACTGCAGAGCCATGACGGTGACATGGCTATTCCATCACACCTGGGTTCTTGTGAGAAGACGTTTGGAAAGCACCTAAGGAAGTGAACTTACAGTCCCACCCACTGGAATCAATCCCCAACAGCCAATGATTTGATCATAGGGTCTACGGAATGAAGCCTTGGTAAAAGAGGGGTCCAGATTGATTCAGTTTGAGGCCCTCCTGGAGGTTTGTAGAGCTTGACATGCCCAGAGGGCATGGGAGCTCAGATCCTCTCCCCCACCCCATGCCCTATGCATCTCTCCTACTTGGCTTCTCCAGAGTTATGTCCTTTGAGGGAAAGGCAGTTCTCTAGTGAGTAAAGCGGGTCCTGAGCTCTGTGAGCCACTCTCACACACCAAGTGACCGCAAGTGGGGTAGGCACAGGGTGGGGTAGAGGCAGGGCAGGCTTGCAGGCCTGAGCACTGACCTATGGGATCTGAGGCCACCTCCAGTTACAGAGTGTTGCATTTGAGGTGAACTGTCAGACACTCAGTGGGTGTCTGAGAATGGCCTAGTGGTTTGGGAACTCAGCCCTATGCACATACGTGCTGGAATTGGGTACCAGAATCTCTGCTAGGGTGTGGGGGCAAGTGTGAAAGCTCATGCTGGCACACACTCACGACACAAACACGTTCAGTACATGTGCAGTTTTATTTTTAAAAATTGGGAAAAGAGCGGCACCTGGGCCAGTGAGAGTCAGTTAAGCATCAGCTTAGGTCATAATCTCGTGGTTAGTGGGTTTGAGCCCCACGGTGGGCTCTGGGCTGTCAGATTTGGATTCTGGGTCTCCCTCTGTCTCTGTCCCTCCCCCGCTCACGCCATCTCTCCCAGTCTCTCACAAATGAATAAATAATTCAAAAACTTGGAAAATATACAGTATGACAGGGACGAGGAGGGGGGGTAAGTATAGTGGTGAGATGCCCAGTGTTGAAGTGGGACATGTGGGGTATGTGTGGGGGGAGGTCTTATGCTGTTTTCCCTACTTTTGTGCATGTTTCAAGTTTCCCACCAGAAAACGTTGAAACAAACAAAACAGGAGAGTAAGTGAGTTTGGGTTCCTGCTAAGTGGCAGGTGGTGAGTGGGTCTCACGAGAAACCATGGCTTCTTTGAGGTGGGCTCGGAGGGGCCAGGCCAACTGCCACCTCTCACAGCCACGTCATGGAGATGGATCCAAATCAGGTTTATTGTCACGACCTTGGCACCCTTCTCTGGGTAAGAGACCCATCAGAGAATCTGATCCAAGCAACGGACCTCACGCCAGGTAAACACACACACTCCCCTACAACTCCAGTCGTGGGGCCCCTGTGTGCTGGCTGCCACGGCACCAGCCCAGACAGTGGCATTTGGGACAGCAAGCTCCAGTGTTCACAGTTCTGGGGTGCCCCAGCCCTGCGTCCTCATGTTTCGAGGCTGTGCTGGCGTGAGGAGAGAGCTGGCCAGCCTGTGCTTCAAGGGCAAGAGGAGACATGACCTGGGAGGTGCCGGCAAACACAGTGTGTTTACAGCATTTACAAGTGGAAGGCTGAGAGAAGACGGGTCCAGGTCCATATGGCCCCCAGGGGCTGGGAGGCAGGGGAAATGGCCAGATGTTGGTCAGAGGGTACAAGGCTGCAATAGAGGTAGGATGAGGAAGTCTGAACATCTAACATCCAGCATGATGGCCACCGTTAATAAGGCTGTATGGTGTATTTGTGGGAGCTTGACAGTGACCACGAGAAGGAATGGTTAGGGATGCGGGGATGTGCCTGCAAATGGGACTCTCTGCTTGGGCAGATCATGCCTGCAAACAGGACGTTCTGCCAAGAGGCCTGCACACAATATCCAAGGTTAATGATCTGCTCCCATACGAGGGAACATGCCCTCCTTAGAAATAGGAGGAGGATGGGGCGCCTGGGTGGCTTAGTCAGTTAAGCGTCTGACTTTCACTTAGGTCATGATCTTGTGGTTCGTGGGTTCGAGCCTCACGTCGGGCTCTGTGCTGATTGCCAGCTCAGAGCCTGGAGCCTGTTTCAGAGTCTGTAACTCCCTCTCTCTCTGACCCTCCCCTGCTCACGCTGTCTCTCTCTCTCTCTCTCCTAGAAATAAATAAAACATTAAAAAAATTAAAAAAAAAAAAGAAATAAGGAGGAGGCTGGAATTGGGGGCAGGCCTCTTAGTAAACATGTTGTGGTCGCTTCTTCCCTTTGCTCCCCCATGTGCTTGGAATGTGTTTGGCTTCTTGCCCTTATTTGGTAAAGGAATGCATCTTGTAGATTTCAGTATGCATCCAGCTACTGGGGTATAAAATAAACCGCAAGAAGGCTTGCGTAGAATTTTTCCTCCGGCCGGTGTTGTGTCTGTGTCTGTCTTTTGTGTGTCTTGTCTTTGTGTCATTTCGTCCGCAACAGTACTGGAAATTTGCTAAGAACCGATTTCTGGTGCTTGCACCATAAAAAACAAAGACAATCACATGTGGAGATGAACGCGCTCATTAGCTTGCCTACAGTGATTGTTGTACTGTATCAATGGACCACACAACACATTGTACACCTTCACTTCTGTGATGGCAGAAATGACACCTCTGTCAGGTTTAGGCCTAACTTCTGCTTTCTTGCTCTTGGAAACCGACCGCCATGCGGAGAGTAAGCCCACATGGCCACACAGAGAGGACGAAGGATGAAAGATCCTGGCCCTCAGCCCATGCAGGGCTTCTGGCTATCAGCTGTGGTGAGCAAAGCCTCAGCCCATGTCAAATATGCAGCACAGAGCAGCCCTGCCCATGGGCCCTGCCCAAACCCTGTGTAGATAAATGAGGATTACTGTCCAATCACTCAGCTAGGGCAGGGTTTAGGAAAACCCAAACACCGCCTCACTCTTGCCCTGTGAACATTCCAGCCTCTCAATCCCCCCATCCCTCCCGTGGACCAAATGGTTGTGTCCCCCAAATTAATATGCCAAAGCCCTGGCACCTCTCCCCCAGTGTGGCGGTACTTGGAGATGGGCCTATGGGCAGGAGCTCAAAGTTCAATGGGGTACTGAGAGTGGGGCCCAGAGCTTGCTCTTTCCACCACGCAATGGCTCCATTGGAAGGCGGCCCACTGCAGGCCCAGAGCAGAGGCCTCAGCAGAAACCAACCCTGCCACACTTCCATCAGGGTTTCCAGCCTCCAGAAGTGTGAGGAAGTGCACGTCTGTTGTGCAAGCCCACCTCCCACTTTAGAGAACTGGAGCCAGACTCCATGCTGGGGTCACCCAACATAATCACTATGTGGGGT